ATATGAAAAATTCAGCTCTAATGTTCAATTCTGCAGTTCCTTCAGTGTTGTTGTTATGAGCCTCTTGGCAGCCTAGCTGGCCAGCTTCTATCTAGTCTTTCATCAATTCTTGAGAACAGTTAGGTTTTTGTAAAGTTGCTGTTGCCCATGTGGTCGGAATTTACTGGAAACTTTACTTGAATCCTTACTGTGCCTTTGTGTGTATAGATAATTGCATGTTTCATTAAATTTTTTTTTTTTTTTTTTACATGCTGACTGAAACCTTTGAACTGCAAACCAGTATAAAAAAAAACTGTATAAAAACCCTATATTCTATGATTTTGGCTGTAGCTGACATCTGTATTTAGTGTTAAGTGTTTTTATTCGCTGTTGTTTTCCTCAGTACTTATTGCCCCAGTTTTGCCTCGTCTATCCATTTGTGTACATTTGTCACAGACCCCTTATTTAGTTAACACTCATGTTTCATATATAGGTGTAATGAATAGACCTTGTTTTCACGTCACTTATCACTTTCACTAAGTACACTGGTATTGTCCTGGTTCTGTTCATGTCCTTGGGAGTTTTAAGTATTATCAATGAAGGTACACCACATCATGTGCCTGTTGTTTCGTCTCATGTTTGGGTCCTGCAAACATGAAAGGATGTCTGGTCCAACTCTCTCTCTCTCTCTCTCTCTCTATTTATATATATATATATCCATCCATCCATTATCTGACACGCTTTTCCTGAGTGGGGACACGAGGGGTGCTGGTGCCTATCTCCAGTAGTCAATGGGCGGGAGGCAGGGTACACCATGGACAGGTCGCCAGTCCATCACAGGGCAACATAGAGACAAACAACCATTCACGCACACACTCACAACTAAGGAGAATTTAGACAAGTCAATTAACCTAACAGTCATGTTTTTGGACTGTGGGAGAAAGCCGGTGTACCCAGAGAGAACCCATCAAACCCAGAACCTTCTTCCAGGATATATATCAGTGGGCAGCAGTGCTACCCACTGCCCCACTGTGTTATATATATATATATAATCTTGCAAGAAGGGTGGCTTGACTGACTCAATGCAAGGTGTGAATTTCAAAAGCTTGAATGGTGGAATAAACATTGAATTAGAAATACTGGATTATGAGAGAAATGAGGAATACTGGATTAACGCAGTGCATACTTTCTAAAATGATATTTGAAAATCCCTTTAAAAATATTTCTCAGAGGTGTACTTCTTTGGTGCAGTGATTAGTGCGCACGACCCATGTACAGAGGCCTTAGACCTCGATGAGGCTGACCCGGGTTCCGATGTGGTCCTTTGTTGCATGTCTCTCCCCCTCTCATGTAGCCCCTTTCCTGTCAGCCATCTGTACAATAAAAGAGCCACTAGTGTGGTTAAAACCTAAAAAAAAGAAATAAAAAAAAATATATATACATATATATTTCTCTGATTTGATGTTTATTAGGGCAGCTGAAAATATCTTGTCATGTTCTTGATGATTACATTTTCTAAGCCAGCGTAGACTATTGTCAATCTATATATATTTTTTTCCTTACTATATGGCGAGTTGTTTGTATAGCAGAACCCACTGATCTTTCACTGTCTCCTCATCCCTGTGTCTTCTTCCGGGGTATGATATGCCCAATTCCCTTATTTCCCATCTTTGGCCCGTGTCTCAACCTTTCATTCTGCACACACACTCAATGACACACATGTACAGGCTCACAGCCAAATGGCTGTTCATTAAAGACAGGGACCTGAGGGGAAGCAATCGTCTGAGCGACGGAAATTGCGTGTCACATTAGATTAGCGGTGTAAAGCCTCTGGATTGGCTCCGGGGAATAAGGAATTATTTCAATTACATTATTTCAAAAAGTCTTTAAGCAATACCAATACCGATAAAAACAAATTAAGAGTGATTTGGGCAGATTTGTGGTGCTCAGAGCTGCGCTTTGTGACAATGTGCTGGAAATCAGATATGAATAATGCAGATATTACACAGTGTAATGTGTTACTCTTGAAAGCAGATTATCTGTGACAAATAACGCCAATGCTTTGCATTGTGTCTCATCAAAAGGGAATATTCCTAAGTGTCAATCACACATGCAAGGGGGACTGCATGGGACTGTGTGAGTCACAGAGGAGGGAGAACTCCTTCAGCTGCCAATCAAGTCTGATTTTAGTGAATGAAAGATACAGACCAGAATGGTGCATGGTCCTATTTATCCCTGTTAAAAACATCACCACCAGCATTTTAGTACAGCTTCGCTGGAATCTGGGAGAAAGTGCCAAGGTGAGTTGGCGGCAATCACTTATAATGAGTTAACATTTCATTTCAAAATTAAAAAACACGTTGACTGTGTAAAAATGTAAACATTTATGGGAGACTTCTGATAGTGTGAGGATACTTACAGTGCTTATAACCACCAAACCTTTGTAGTGCTTTTTAGATTGCCAGAGTTCAGTTTTGAAGCATACTAAAAGCTGTAAGTCACGGTGACATACTGTAAGAGCAGCAAATTTGAGTTGCATAAGAATAAAGTAACGGCAAATCTCAAAGCACAAAGAGTTTGCAGATGTCTCATGGTGTTACTCGAATTGTTAAAGATGTACAGGGGCATACCAAAAGTAGCAACAGACACCTAGTGAATCAGACTTTCTTCTTCATTCTTTTTGTCTCAATCAGCTCAAAGCTGGTGCAATACTGCACTGCAATTTATACAAACAATTTTATTAAAATGATGCAACGTTTGGACCTGTCTTGGGTGAAAGTGGTAGTTTTCTCACCATTACTGATCTTTGGACTGGACCAGCAGTGTGAATGGATCCTTTGTTTGGTGCCTTAGGTTAGCACAGGCTAAAGATCAGAGATAATCAACAACATAGATGGGAGTGTCATGTGTTTAATTCTACAGACCCATAGCCCACGGTGTCACATGTTTACATTTCTACAGAGTTGCTTTTTTCCCATAACAAATGGGCATTGACAAAAAAAAAAAAAAAGGAAAGCTAGGAAATTTTGGATTTCCAAAGAAATGTTTCACAAAACTCAACATGTTCAAAAGTTACACAGAGTAAAATAACATTCAATCTGTCTCAGTGACATCACAGGGGCCGCAAGTGTCAAGCTTCTTTTCAGGGATTGATTAATATCATTGGTGACAATAGACTTTTAATAGATTTCTATATTCGAGTTGCATTAGAGATGAAAGGGCTTGAGTTTTTTCATATGACCCTCAATACATGATGGATAATGTCATGGATGCCTATGATCATCTTCAGGGGTTTTACTGGTCCAAATCCTGTTACTGCATGAATTTTCTCATTTCTGAAAATTTTATCACCTGTAAAATATTTTTTTAAAAATATAATGCTTGTGTTAGTTGACTGGCCAGAGCAGTAACATTGGGTGCAGTCTGATGTCAAGCTGCTTAAGTTTATCTGGACAACTTTTGTCTTTCTGATTGCCAGACAAACCAACAAAGTAGTAGAATTTTTGTAAGCTTATTTTTTTTAACCACAAGTAACTTTTCTAAAGTACTTATTGGACTACGTATTTTTTTTCCGGTTATAAAAATGCTACATATTATATCTTTGATTTTTAGACTGCCTACGTCTACAGTCTGGTCCGTTCTACACATTGATGTAATTGATTTTAGTTCTACCGTAATTTACACCACAAGCATTCCCTCTATCTTTTTTTTTTTTTTTGCAGCCAGATATTAGAAGTTTTGATCTTTAATGGGTAAATACTCTAAGTAGAAAACAGCTATATTTTTTTTAGATTATTGAAGCATTTAAATGTGGTTTTAATGTTTATATTATGCTTGACCATAAATTATTAACTCAGCCGGCACACATATAAACATATACATAAATTGACCTGGGAAATCCTTCAAGAGAAGCTAATGTGTGTTGAGTGAATTTTTTGAAAAACATGGATGTAGTTGAATTTTCTCTTGCTGAGTTGTGATCAGTATAGACTTACTCTGAACTAGCACTGGCACCTGGATAAAACAAATTCTGGAGAACCGATGTAATGCAGCCGCCTTGCAAATGCAGTTTAAATGCTCTAAATGATTATAATGGGTGCACATGGTTGGTATGAAATGTCTTGTGGTTGGCCGCTTAATTTCTTTCTCAAAAAGGTTGACTACCAAACAACCTAAGCCACCCATGCCCAAGCTGCGCTCGCATTCAGCCCAGTTGTCTTGCTTGCTCCATAAAACACTATATTGAACATTATTACAGAAGGGTTTTTGATTAAAACCATGCAAGTTTTGCATGGTTTTAATCAATTGCAATAAAGGCAGTTTTCCTGTGCGATATAGGAATGTATTTTCGCCTCAGAAATTTTGTCCACTACCTTATTCTACCTTTTATTTAGACCGCATGGATGTTTAAATATATGCGTCCATTTGTTAGCAAAGGCTGTAGGACAGTATAGATTGTCTTTATTTAGAAACATGGATGCTGTGATTCCTGTTGGAACGGTGTAGATTGAGCCTGAGTTTCTGGCGCCTATCTGCTTTCGGCCACCCCTCAGCGTACATAGGTTACTGCCTGGCCGCCCCTATTAAAATTTTCTGGCTACACCTGTGACCTGTTACCAGCCATATCAAACAGAGGGAAAAACAACAACATATCTAAATGTTCAAATGACCTTCAGTTGTAGCCTCTTATGATAACAGACAATATGATAATATGGTTTAAGATTTGCAACAGAATAATATTAAAAACATATTAAAGTGGACATTCATTGTTCTATGAGTGGAAAAGTTTATTTAAATTAAATTGTATTAATTTTACAATGAAATCTAAGAAATAGCTTTAAAGTTTCTTTTGCAAAATCAAGGTAAGTGCTTCTTTTAGTGAGACCAACAGATTGGATGTGTCCTTAGAAAGGCATGCTGGTCTCAGAGGAGGGGTAGAAGAAAAGGGGGGGCTACAGGGAGAGAGGGCAGGGTAATAGAAGAGGGGGTGATTGTCACACAGAGCGCAAAGACCAACAGAGACATAGAGCGACCCGCAGCCAGTGCATCCACTGCTGCCTTCCTTCATCCTGCACAGACAGACAGACGCACGCAGCAGCTGCACGGCTCTGAGCTGCGCTCCTCTCTGCGCCGCTCGGAGGAAAGACGCGCAAACATCTGGAGGAGGACAGCGAAAACCCACAGTGTCCTGCCACGCTTCTTTTTTTTCTTTCTTCTTGTTTCTTTTATTGTTTTTAAAGTGCATCGTTTCTGAAAGAAGAGAGAAAAAGTTGAAAAGCCTGCAGGGGGAAGTGTTGAAGCTGAAATAAACGCGCTTAGAGAAGTTCTTCACGGTAAGTAGCGAATCATTGATGGGTCCTGATTACACAACTGATTACTACTTTGTGTGCTTTAATTGCTCTAAGTGGCAATTTTATTCTCACGTTTTCTGGTTGCTTCTGCTTGTTTACAAGAGTCACTGAGAAAAACTTTTTTCTTGGAGACACGATATTGATGTAAAAGACTAGACAAATTATTGAAGAAAGAATGATCAGCTTGATTAATTTAGTTATTAAATGTAGATTTAAAATCAGCTTTTATATTTCACGTTGTTCACAAAATATGGGAGGTATTTTAGTAAGTTCTTTAAATTGTTTTAATTTGTTTGGTAAACATTTCTTCTCTTATGCGGGAAAAAAATACAATTTAGTTCAATTTAGTTTATTTATACAACTTCAATTCACAACATATGTGACCCCAAGGCACTTTACAGAGACAATTCAACCAGATCATACTGTTTCAAAGTTTTCTATATAAGGAGAACCAGCTGATTCAATTGAACTCATTGACTCGAAAAAACATCTAATTCAATTAAAAGTATTTTTTTATCAATTTTTTAAAAGCCCGTAATTTAATTTACAATTTTAGATGCTGAGTCTTTTTTTTTAATTCGTAACTTTGATATTGCATTTTTCTTTTGCACATTTTTTATCAGTTTAATTATTGTTGATACGTGTTTTGAAACAAATATCTTTTTAAAATATTTTCCAATCGGACCTTTAAATGTTCAACTTCCAATTATGAAAATAAATAAATACAAAAACAAACACTGTATTGATTTAAAAATTAAACTTTTTTGATACCTAAATTGTTTTTTAAATGTTTTTTTCCTCTAAAGGTGTTCCTACCTCACTTTTAAGAACATTTGCAAGCTTCTTCCCTATGTGTGTTTTATAGGCAATTTATTTACTCTTAATTATTTACAGGCCTCCTTGAAACACCTTTTTTAGTTGATATTATCCTTTAAAGCAGTGATTGTAAAAAAAACAAAACAAAAAAAACCTCTAAACCTGCAATTATGAGACATTTGACTTGTGGAGCTGTTTGATGTAAAATTGAAAGAATTAAAGTATTTGCTGACGGATAAAAAAAACAACTAAAGTCAATGTATGGGGAAAAAATGAGTTCATATCGCTGTGGGTGGTCCGTTGATATGTTGGGTTTTTGTTGTTAAATAAATAGTTTCCAGGCCAACTGAAAATATTGTTAATAAGCTCATGATGGTTATTCTTTTTCATTTTTTTCATTTTTTTTGTGGATCTGCTGCACTATGTGCCTCAGAACTACCAGCAGGGAGGGAATGGATCTCCATCGCCCCTTCAAGATGGACAGCCCCTCCTATCTCCCTACTCCCCTGGCCTCTCCAGCCCTGATGGTCCTGGCATCCACAGCAGAGGCCAGCAGGGATGCCTCTGTCCCCTGCCAGGCTCCCAGGCCTTTCGGAATCCCGGTCTCTGTGGAAAAGGACCTCCACCTCCCCTTTCCCTCACCTTCCTACACCTTCGCTTCCATGTACCAGCGTCAGGCTCCCATGTCGGGTACGTTTACGTCCCGGGACTTTCCAACATCCCTGCTTCACCTGCACCCTCAGTTCACACCTCCAAACCTGGACTGTTCCCCCCTGGGGATGCTCAACCACAGTGGGTTGGGGGCGTTCCGACCTTTTGCATCCCCGCAAGAGGAAAGAGAATCAGGGGGGTACCAGTCGGCCTTCACTCCTGCCAAGAGGATGAAGGGCTGCTTCCCAGAAACAGAAGGGAAAGAGTTTGACTTTGGACCCCTGAAAACTGGAGAGGAAACAGGAAGGAAGTTGTTCTCCATGTCTGGCCTGCTATCTGATGGGGAGGCTTCATCAAGCCCAGAGGAGCACAAAGAGCACAGTGAGTAGACACACTAAGGTTAGAGAATGAAAAAAACATCTAAAAACAATCTTCATCTGTCTAAACTCAGACACTGACACTCACCTCATGTTTTACCATTGAGAATAGAGCTGGTTATTTTCCGATACGTCATGCCCCCCCTGACCTGACATGATGGGAACACATCATCTACGGCTGCATCCGAAAAGATATCGTCTAATTAGGCATCTGTTTGCAGCGGCCCGACTTCGACCCAAATAAATTGAACAGTGACACTCATTCAGTTTACTGATCATTAGCCACATATGACCATTAGGCCTATTGGAAGTCTGCCGTTTCCAACAAATATACAGCAGTACATGTAGGGCTGACACAGGGGGAGTGAGAGCGGGAACGAGTGACACCCTGTCACAGATAACGAGGTGGCAGAGACAGAGAGGGAGGGATGGTGGAGGAGAGAGAGAGAGAAACAGAGAGAGATGCAGCATGCGCTCCAGCCCGAGTTTCCCTACCAACGACAACCCTCAGCTCAATACGGCCGCCCACACCAGCCGTCTGATTTGTTGACAAATGAGTGGGAGAGGTGTCAGTCAGCGCGGCTCACAGGGGAGAGACGCTCCTCATTACTCCTGGGGATAATTGCCCAACGACGCGGGGGCACAACTCTTTCCTCAGAGGGTTGACGGGAAGGGAGTGAGTCAGTGGAGGCGATGCTATGCATGATGGGAAATCAAAACTCCTTCAGCGGCGGCCACCGATGGGAGCGCCTGACAGATGAAAGGCAAAAGACAGAGCTGAGAGAGAGGGAGAGAGAGCACCACAGAAGGCTCTGGAGATCAGAGGGGGACACTATCGAAAATAATGACAATGAGAAGAGAAGAGTAGAGGGGATGGGGGGGTTATTTGTTTGCTCTTTCACACACTCCACCTAAAGAAAACTTTCATCCCATACATAAAGGACAGGAGCACGGATGATTTGTCTTAAGAAAAGTTTGGATTGTGTGTGTCACTTTGCATATGTGCATGTCTTTGTTGAAAGTTACAGATTTTTGTTGCTGGCTGGTGGCTGAGTGATGGGGGGGGGCAGGGAGGCGGAGTGGCAGCCGGGAATCTCAATATGGAATTTTAATAAGACCAGAAAAAGAATAGATGCCAGCCTGCCTGCCAAGCCGGCACGCTGGTGTGAGAGGTGTGCCTGAAGAGAGAAAAAAAAAAGAAAAAAGTAGCGAGTTGGCTACACCGAGCTCATGCATGCACAGCCACCTGATTTTTTGAGCCTCGTTTGGGGAGGGAATGTTGACAAGGACAAAAGACTTGATAGAGAAGAAGGAGGATTGTATCGCTCCTACAGATATATATATATGGAAAAAAAAAACTGGGGTGAAAAAGAGGATTCATACACACTGGAAGCTGCTTTTACAGCTTTATCCAATTAGACTGGAGCTCAGGCAAACTAAGAGCTTTAATGCAATTGAGCTCCTTCTACTTTTCTAAGGCTGACATACACTTGTTCCTCTTGACTGGGTAACAGACAGTCACTTCAGGAGCAAAAGTCTTAAGTGTTAAGCTTGAAATCTTCTTTGAGTGTGAGTTTCTACCGCTGAGGCACAGCAGCAACAATAGGGCCGCAGATTCAATAGAACTGAAAACTTAAACCCCCAAAAACTTTAACTCACGTAAAGTTAACTTTACCAGTGAAATTTGTGTAAAGCTTTTGCATATTGTTACAGTATCTCTTAATTTCCTGAATGGTTTAGGAGATAACTAATATGCATCTTTCTTGAAATAATGAACCAATCTGTTGACCATAAGAAGAATTAGTATAACAACAGCAAGATTTTAGCTCATATACCTTTCTTTCTTTTTGTTTTTTTAATAGTATTTTAGTGACTTTATAGAGTTTTCACATTTCAGAATAGTTGCTACACCATTTTAGATATATATTCCTGTGTTGAAGAAGTTTTTTCTAGACAGAATGCAGTGTTTTATAAAGAACTTCTAAGAAAAGGAAGTGGTTGTTTTGGAAAAACTCTACATATAGATGAGGACTGCAAGCCTTGAAGTTAAATGTCTACCTAACTCTAAATCGATTACACTTAGCATGTAAAAAATAAACATGTATGTGAAAAAATCAGTTCTGGTTCCAGCTTAGGAACCTGAATCTTCCATTCACATTTACAAAATCTGTTCCAACAGAAATTGAAAGAATTTCAAAATTTTTGCATTTTACCATTTGAAGTATCAATATTTCTGTGCATAATCTGATTTTTTAATGCATGGGGAAGTAAAAAAAGGACAAATTTAGTATTATTTGTAGAGAATCAACACTTCTTAATAGAGCTGTAGAAATACTTCTTATTCTGTTTAATTATTTTACTTAATTACTTTGCATGGTTATTGCCTCTTTCTAAGATAACTAGTTGCTTGCATTTCACAGATCAGACTATTTTATGGCTTCATTCTCTTCCCAGTATTTTCCAGATCTCCAGCAGTGTAGGTATTCTTCTGCATTGTATTTTTTCCCACTCTGAACTGTCAGTCTAGACAACAAGCAGGTACATGACACCTCCTCCCGCCCACCTTGTGTACCATTGCCAGTGGCTGCGTCTTCCTGTCCATCTCGGGTCTTTCTTCTGTCGACATTCCCCATCCCTGGCTCCCCTGTCCTCTGTTTTTATCAGGGAAGGGTCTGGGTTGCTTGGTGTGTTCTGACAGCTGTTCAAACAGCCATGCTCACTTTCAAAGGGCAGATGTCTCCACTGGAGCGAGTCATGCTTATTTTCCTCAGGGAGATGCGTTTTTCGCCGCAGGCCTGAGCTGGAATGAAAACGTTCCTTTTTAACAGAAACACGAGTCAGGACTCTCAAGGAGCCCAGTGGCAAAAAAAGAAAAAAAAAAAAGAAAAAAAAAGACACGCAATGGCCACAGGCTGCTTGGTTGTGTGTGTGTCAGAAACTCACAGTTGAAGCAAAGCCAAGTGTGATCAGTGATAACTGGAGCCAGATGTGTGAGAGCCACTTTATTTTGTGAAGTAGGACCAAAACCTTAAGTTGTGGATGACAAATGCAACTTTTACAAGCTCTGCATTCATCCAGACCAGCATTGCACAGATATGAGCCGATATTACTTGTATAAATGTGTTTCGTAATGACGCTGCAGAATCTGGAAGGGAACTGGTATGCTTCACACATCACAGCATCCGGCACATTTGAAGAAAGTTTGGTTTCCTACAATTTATTGTTGTAGCTATAAAATGCGTTGACCATTAGAAACAGAATAACAAGACGTTGTTTCACACTTTGTTGAGTTTTGTTTGTTTTCTTTTCTAGCGTGTGGTTTAACAGACCAGCTGAAGTACAGATGCTAATTTGCAAAATACTTTTCCCACACATATTCCATCTTAAAAAAACAAACTTTTTTTTTTTCTTTTACAAATATATGATAATTACATGTCCAAGTCAAAATTGGTATGACTGACTTTTTCCGCTGGGAAATTCAAAGTGTTTTCACCCTACTAAAAGTAAAAGGGAGTTGATAGGAGGGAAACAATCAGTCATAATGGCTCAGTGTTCAAGTGTTCTCCAGGTTCAGTATTCATGGATTTATGGCACAACTTCCCTCCAGAACCACTATTACATGTATTCATCTTAAATGAGCCATGCAGATTATCTCCACTCTGAGGTTTGATGGGTGGCGTCTAAAGACAGAACAAATTTGTTATTTGGTGTCTAAAATTTGGCTGTATTTCTGCAGAAAATAGGTTACAGAAAACAGTGTTGATTTAAATAACCTTGATTATAGAATCTTATAAAAAAGTAGAGATACATCATGAACATTTTCACATGTTGTTATATTACAAAGATAACTTTTTGGGGGGATTTTTTTAATGTACTTGCTCAACACACAGTACTATATAATGATAAAATATATAATACATAATGTTTTAATGATAACAATTTGTTGAGTGTTGAACACACATTTATTTGGCCCCGGTTAATTTGATGCCTCTAAATAAAATCCAATGCAGCCGATTGCTTTCAGTGGTCTCATTACTAGATAGAAGTATTTCCCTATGTGTAATTTGATTTCAGTGTAAATGCAAAAGCACAAATCTGGAACACTGACAAACAGAAACTCACTGTTGAAGCAAAGCCATAAGAACTTCTGTTTGCCTTACAAAGCTATACTGGGGAACACAGGGAAAACAAAAAACAAACGTGCTCAATTCAGATGACATTAAATACCGGTATTAACTTTTTGCTCTGGATGAAAAAAGCTATTTTCTGCAGAAATCTCTCAGACTACACCTCAACCTTAAAACACTATAGTTGCAGTTAAACACTGGGGTATCATGTCACTGCTGAAGAAAGCAGAGTCAGAGAAGCTTGCCACGGTTGATGAAAAGATTGATAAAGTCTAATAGAAGCTTTTAAAGACTCAAGAGTGAGTCATAGATTCCTCTTCCAATAGGGGAATGACTCCAAGCAGACAGGAATGGGTTAAATCAAATCTTGTTTCTCCGGATTTAAGTCCAACCGAGAATCACTGACAAAGAAGAATTAGTGGAAGTTTGTCTCTACATGTGCCAACATTGTAGAAGCATGGCCTGAAAGACTTGTAGCTTCAGCAATGACTAAGTTTCATTAAATAGAAGTGCAAAGCTTTTTTTTTTTTTAGATTTGTCTTTTTCAAAATAATCTTTAAGATTATCACTTTTGTCCCCTCCATTTTGAAGTGATTACCCACTGATATAACATTTAAAAAAAAAACTCCTTCCACTGTTGTTTGGAACATGACGAAATGTGTAGAAGTTTTAGAGTTATTTTTACTTTTTTAAGGTACTATATGTTCCAAAACAAATATAGCGGAAATATGCTTTAGGAATCCCCCAGTACCCACACACTTGTCTCCATACTCTCCATCTTTTGTGATTTGTTAACAGGGTGTTGCCTTCTCTGGGGCTGCTGTTGACTGCTGGTATTGACCGGAGCTTCCTGTTGAAAGACACAGTGTTTACATCC